AGGGGGAGAGAATTCCAAGCAGGCTTTGCACTGTCAGCACACAGACCAACACAGGCCTCAATCCTACCAACTAACTGGCTCAGGTCATTATCTTAACAAAGAATTGGACACTCATCTGAGCCACCCAGGCACCACTAGAAAGAACTTTTAAACTGAAGAATTATAATTACTATATTTTGTATTAAAAAAAAATTTAATGTTTATTTCTGAGAGAGCATGAGAGCGAGAGACAGCATGAGCAGGGGACGGTCAGAGAGAGAGGGAGACACAGAATCTGAAACAGGCTCCAGGCTCTGAGCTGGCTGTCAGCACAGAGACTGAGGCGTGGCTTGAACTCACGAACTGTGAGATCATGACCTGAGCCGAAGTCAGATGCCCAACCGACTGAGCCACCCAGGTGCCCCTATATTTTATATTTTTATATTTAGAATCTTTTTTAGTTGAAAGCAACAATCTAAAATGGGTTGGTGAAATTGTTGGTTTGTGTAACTAAATACTTTGGGATAGGACTGTGTATCAGATAAATTGTTTTCAACTGCAAGCAGTATGAAACTGCTTGCTAAAATTGGCTAAAGTAATTACATAAAAAGGGTAGAGTGAGCTCTGGAGTTTATGAACAGAGGAACTCCCCAATGTCGGGGATCTAGGTTTACTCCATCTCTTTGCTTTGCCTTTCTTGGCACTGATTTCTTTCTCAGTAGTAAGATGGTGGTGGAAGTTCCCAGGTCATCTACAGATAAGGCAGCATCTAGAGAAGGAAAGGATTGTCTCTTACTGTATGTTTCTTAAAAGTAAAAAAAATTTTCCTGAAAATTCTTGGACATCTTCCTACCATGTCTTGTTGGCGAGGATTGGGCCACATGCCTACCCCTAAATTACCACTTATACTAGTTTAAATCTTATGTCTAGAATAGGGATGTGAGCCATTTTCCTCCCAAGCACATAAGAGGTATAGATACTTGATATCTGAGCTTTATGTTAGGAGGGGAAAAGAGTGGGTGACTTCAGTGTCTGCTACTGACTTTAGGGAAGACTGGATCCAGACGCTCTCCCTTCTCCAAGGGTAGGCATTTCAGATTTTAGAATGAAGGAAATAAAACAAATGAAAATAGGAAAGCTCAAGATCGGTATTTGAGGTTCCTTTTGGTTTAAATATAGGGACTTGTTGTATAGGGACTGTCCACTCAGTGTGTAGCACAGAACCTAGCAAAAAAGCAGATGTTTAATAGATAATTGATGGGTGGATGAATAATAAGAACTTTGCAGCATTTAGAAAGTGGCATATCACTTATTTTTTCCGTGAGGATGTGTTTGACTTTCTAGCCCTTTATCCTGAACTTCTAGATCTACTTGCTGAGAGTTGTGCATGGATATCATATGACTGTTAGGTTTTTATTCTCCCGTGGAGAACTGACCTGAAGTCAGGGAGCTTCAGTTACTTGCTGTGGCAGAAGGCTTTCACTGTATGCCTCTGTGACCATTACATTCATGCAGGTTTGCAACACAACTCCGCCCCCGCCCCCCCCCCCACAGGTCTGATGACCCATCTCACGCCTTAATATCTGTCTATCTATCTATCTATCTATTTATTTATTTATTTATTTATTTATTTTTTACAAATAGTTTATTGTCAAATTAGTTTCCACATAACACTCAGTGCTCATCCCCACAAGTGCCCTCCTCCATGCCCATCCCTCCTCCCCCCCACATCCATCAGTCCTCAGTTTTTGTCAGCATTCAAGAGTCTCTCATGGTTTGCCTCTCTCCCTTTCCCCCACCATTTCCCCCTTTCTTCTCCCCCTTGGTCCTCTGTCAAGTTACTCCTAATCCTCCTATACATGCAAACATATGATATTTGTCCTTCTCTGCCTGACTTATTTCGCTCAGCATAACACCCTCAAGGTCCATCCGTGTTGCTACACATGGCCAGATTTCATTGTTTCTCATTGCCATGTAGTATTCCATGGTATAGATAAACCACATCTTCTTGATCCATTCATCTGTTGATGGACACTTAGGCTCTTTCCATGTTTTAGCTATTGTGGAGAGTGCTGCTATGAACATCAGGGTACATGTGCTCCTATGCCTCAGCATTTCTGTATCCCTTGGGTAAATTCCTAGCAGTGCTATTGCTGGGTCATAGGGGAGTTCTATTGTTAGTTTCCTGAGGAACCTCCACACTGTTTTCCAGAGGGGCTGTACCAGTTTACATTCCCACCAACAGTGTAGGAGGGTGCCCGTTTCTCCACATCCTCGCCAGCATCTAGAGTTCTCTGATTGGCTCATTTTAGCCACTCTGACTGGCGTGAGGTGGTATCTCAGTGTGGTTTTGATTTGTATTTCCCTGATGAGGAGGGATGCTGAGGATCGTTTCATGTGTGTGTTGGCCATCTGGATGTCCTCTTTGGAGAAGTGTCTGTTCATATCTTCTGCCCATTTCTTCACTGGGTTGTTTGTTTTTCGGGCGTGAAGTTTGGTGAGTTCCTTATAGATTCCGGATATTAACCCTTTATCTGATATGTCATTTGCAACTATCTTTTCCCATTCCGTTGGTTGCCTGTTAGTTTTCTGGGTTGTTTCCTTGGCTGTGCAGAAGCTTTTAATCTTGATGAGGTCCCAATAGTTTATTTTTGCTCTTGATTCCCTTGCTTTTGGGGATGTGTCAAGTAAGAAGTTGCTGCGGTGGAGGTCAAGGAGGTTGTTTCCTGCTTTCTCCTCTTGGGTCTTGATGGTTTCCTGTCTCACGTTCAGGTCCTTTATCCATTTTGAGTTTATTTTTGTGCATGGTGTGAGAAAATGATCTAGTTTCATTCTTCTGCATGTTGCTGTTCAATTCAACACCATCTGTTAAAAAGGCTGTCTTTTTTCCATTGGATACTCTTTCCTGCTTTGTCAAAGATTCGTTGGCTGTATACTTTTGGGTCCACTTCTGAGATCTCTCTTCTGTTCCATTGGTCTATGTGTCTGTTTTTGTGCCAATACCATACTGTCTTGATGATGACAGCTTTGTAGTAGAGGCTAAAGTCTGGGATGGTGATACCTCCCGTTTTGGTTTTATTTTTCAGTATTACTTTGGCTATTCGGGGTCTTTTGTGGTTCCATACAAATTTTTGGATAGTTTGTTCTAGTTTTGAGAAGTATGCTGGTGCAATTTTGATTGGAATTGCATTGAATGTGTAGAGTGCTTTGGGTAGTAATGACATCTTAACTGTATTTATTCTTCCTATCCATGAGCATGGAATGTTTTTCCATTTCTTTGTGTCTTCTTCAATTTCCTTCATAAGTTTTCTATAGTTTTTATCATACAGATCTTTTGTATCCTTGGTTAGGTTTCTTCCGAGGTATTTTATGGTTTTTTGTTGCAACACAACTTCTTGTGGAGCTCAGTTCTGTGAAGGATGTAGCTGGCTCCACTCCTTCTAGGAAAAAGAAAAGGATGCCTTGCCTGGAAGCTTTTTTTCTGCCTGGTATGCAACATTGTTCTGTAGGGGAGGAAGCACAAGGAAACAGTCATACCTACAGGAAATCTAATATTTGCTTTGCAGTGAAATGTGAAAAATGGAAAGAAAGGAAGCAGCTTAATAAGTTCACTTTGTGTGGGATTTCCTTTTTGGGGCTTTTCTTCTGCCCTGTTACATCATCATTCTGTTTTAATGTTTTATTTTCTGACTGGTAAGTTGCTTTTATATTAATGGTGTTGGGATCCATTATAAACACCATTAGCAGATTCACTGTTGAAAACCATATATAACAAAACTTTCTCTACTTTCCATCATTTTGAGAAAGGAAATCAGAAAAACTGTTTGCCATGCATGTTACCTTGTCCCTCTACCATTTGCCAGTGGACTAATTATACCATTGATTTCACAGGTAGAATAACCTTTCTTAAAGGACTTCCTTTTCCCTGTGAATAATAGAATTCTTACACTAGAATATTTCACAGAAACTTAATAATTATTAAGCTAAATATATTTTGTCCAGCCCGGGAACACAAAGGGTTAAATCTAAGGTCCACCAGTTAGCACAGCTCCCCACAGATGAAAAGGGGAAAGGGTGGGACAGCAGCTGTTTCTTTGTAAGCCTTTATTCTTTTATACCCAGTTGCCTCTTGTCCTCCTCAGTAGCTCCTTTCATACACTTCTGAGATGTGGTCAGACTTTTGCTGACCATGCTGGACCTTTTAGTTGTAGAACAGAGAGTGCTTCCAGTTCAGACACATTCTGATATGGCTTAAAGAGCCATGTAATAAGTAGTAGTTACACCATTCCTGAACTTCATGAGGCTTATGGATGTGAGAAGGCTTACGTTCCAATAGGAATCAGGAATGGTGTGAAACCTAGGGATCCAGGGACAGGGTTGAAAGTGGGGACTTAGCCATTTTGGAATAAAATTGCTATATTGAAATGTTTTTCTGTTGTACATACATACTCAAGAAAATTAAGGGATTGGTTTAGTGAGTCTGAAAGGTATGTTTTAGATCCCTCTATTTTATTCCTCATTCATTAATTTTTTTAGGCATTCATTAGTTTTTAAGCATTATAATGCAAGATAAATAGACTTACCTATAATTTTCATTGTGGCATGCATGTCATGGCCTTGCCATTGGGAACACAACTTTTGATTTTAGCATTGTAAATGGCAGGTAATGTAGGTATTTAAATCACTTCAAAGTTGGTGAGATCTAAACTCAGAATCTTGCTCTTGACAAATACTGGCTTTGTGACCTCAGACCAATTAATTTTCTTTTACTAAACCTCAGATTCCTCAATCTGTAATTTGGAGGTGATAATGTATTAACAAAATCATTGTGAGGATCTAATGAGATCATGACTGTAAATTATTTAATATAGAGCCTTGCCTATAGGAAATACTCGATGTATATTACCCAATGTTAATGATATAACTTCTTCTATCATACATTGACTATTTCACTCAAATACCTTAATAACCAGAATGTTTTCCTGAAGGAAACTGAACTGACCTATTTCTTTCTCTTACAGATCTTATTTTGTACTTTAAACACACCTAAAGTTGATATGGAAAGACTCTTAGGATCACAAATAGGCCTTGAAGATTTCATATTTGCCCACGTGAAAGGTATCCAAAAAGAAGTGAGTGTACATAAATCTGAGGATTCACTTGGTCTCACCATTACAGATAATGGTTCTGGCTATGCTTTTATAAAGGTAAGTCTTAAAAAATAACTACGACCTAATTGAGGATAATATTTAAGAAAATCTGCCAGGTCAAAGAAATGATCTTAACAGTGAGATATGGCTCAACAGGGATGAATTGGTAAGGTTTCATTTTGAAAATGTTTTCAGGACTTCATTTTTTGTTTACCCTTTACTTGAATTTATTCCCTTCATTTTAAACTTCCTCTAGAATTTAGAACTTCTTGAAAAGGAAAGCTAGGCCCTGGTGCCCACTCATCATCTGTAGGACTTCTTGTAGGTCTGTAGCTAATTAATATCTGATGACTTTCACATTGATATCCACTTTTTTAGGGTTCTCTCCAAATATATATATTAAATATAAATAAATTTAAAAGATTTTATTTTATATGTATTTTGAGAGAGCCTGTGTAAGTAGGGGTAGGACAGAGGGAGAATCCCAAGCAGGCTCCATGCTGCCAGTGCAGAGCCTGACGTGGGGTTTGATTTCACAAACCATGAGAGCATGACTTGAGCTGAAATCAAGAGTCAGACACTTAACTGACTGAGCCACCCAAGGACCCCCCCCCCTTTTTTTTTTAAGTAGGCTCCATGCCCACCTTGGAGCCCATCGCAGGGCTTGAACTCAAGACCAGAGGTCTGAACTACAGCAAGTGTTGGATGTGCAACCTAGTGTGCTACCCAGGTATCTATATGTGTATATATGTATGTATGTATGTATATGTGTGTATATATATGTATATATATAATTTTTAAAGTAATGTATATGCCCAGTGTGGGGCTTGAAATCCCCACCCAGAGACTGATTTGCATGCTCTGTTGACTGAGCTAGCCAGGTGCTCTAACATATTTTTGACAACCTCTTACATCTTAAATATTCTTAAGGGGCACCAGGGTAGCTCAGTCAGTTAAGTGTCCACCTCTTGACTTTGGCTCAGGTCATGATCTCCTGGTTTGTGAGTTCATGCCCCATGTTGGGCTGTGCACTGACATTGTGGATCCTCCTTGGGATTCTCTCTCTTTCTCTCTCTCTCCCTCTTCCTCCCCCACTTGTGCCCATGCTCACTCACTCACTCTCTCTCTCTCAAAATAAACTTTAGAAAAGTTTGAAGCATTTTTTTAAACTCAGAATTCCTTTATTTAAATACAAATTGGGGTGCCTGGGTGGCTCAGTCGGTTAAGCAACCAACTTCGGCTCAGGTCATGATCTCCTGGCTCATTGGTTCGAGCCCCGCATTGGGCTCTGTGCTGACAGCTCAGAGCCTGGAGCCTGCTTCAGATTCTGTGTCTTCCTCTCCCTCTGCCCCTCCCCCACTTACACTCTGTCTCTCAAAAATGAATAAATGTTAAAAAAGGGGCACCTGGGTGGCTCAGTCGGTTAAGCAACCAACTTCCACTCAGGTCATAATCTTGTGGTTTGTGAGTTCAATCCCTGCATCGGGCTCTGTGCTGACAGCTTGGAGCCTGGAGCCTGCTTCGGGTTCTATGTCTCCCTTTCTGTCTGCCCCTCCCCTGTTCACATTCTGTCTTTCTCTCTCTCAAAAGTAAATAAACATTAAAAAACTTATAATTTTTAAAACAAATACAGATAGAGCAATATAGAGCTGTAAAGGCAAGAGAAAGAAGCTTGAAATAGTATGAAAAACTAAGAACTGAGATGTGGGGGAAAAGAAGACTTACCTCTTAAACAGTTCTATTAAGCAGTTATATAACAACTGACTTCAACTGAATGTTTATGTACTAGGCACTCGACATACATTTTCTCATTTAAGCCTCAACCATTCCATTGGCACTGTGTTTTTTTCTTGTTGAGGTATAACAAATTTTTTTTTTTTTTTTTAAATATTTACTTATATTTGAGAGATAGAGACAGTGTGAACGGGGTAGGGGCAGACAGAGAGGGAGACAGAATCCAAAGCAGGCTCTAGGCTCTCAGCCATCAGTGCTGAGCCTGATGTGGGGCTCGAACTCACAAACCTCGAGATCACGACCTGAGCCAGAGTCAGACACTTAACCACCTGAGCCACCCAGGCGCCCCGAGGTATAACAAATTTTTTTAAAATTTATTTTGAGAGAGAGAAAGTGCACACCCACATGAGCAGCGGAGGGGCAGAGAGAGAGAGAACATCCAAAGCAGGCTGACTGTGCAGGTCAGCAGGGAACCTATTGTGGGGCTTGAATTCACAAACCATGAGATCATGACCCAAGCCGAAATCAAAAGTCAGACACCTAACTGGCTAAGCCAGCCAGGCACGCAAGTTATAACAAATTTTTAATGTTCAGCTTAATGTACTTATAGCTGTGTAACACCACCCAGATCAAGGGAAACTTCATTTCTACCACACAGAAGTCTCCTTTGTACCACTTCCCAGACAGTATGCTTCCCTCACAAAGGTAGCCAATATTCTGACCTCTATCACCATAGTTTTCCTTGTTCTTGAACCTTCTGTAAGTAGACTCCTATATTATGTACTCTGTTATTTCTTGATTCTTTTGTTGAACATGATGTCTGAGAGATTCACCTGTGGGTAGGTACTATTATCAACCTCTAATTTACAGATGTAGAAACAGGAAAAGGGAGGTTCAGTAGCTTGCTTTAAAGTTATGTGGCAGAAAAATTCAGGATTTGAATTTAAGAGATCTGACTCCAGAGCTGGCATTCCTATCCACTTTACTAAGAATTAGCTACAAACCTCATGCAACAGAGCATGTTTTGGGTTTATATTTTGTCCAGATCTTTTCTTTGCTGGTACATTGTCATTTAAAACAAGTCTTAGGGAAGCAGTCTTCTTAACTGTAAATAGTACTTTATTTAACTTCCCACTTGATAGAATGGCTATTTTTAGCTCTGCAAAAGATATGACTGTGCTGAAGGTTGAGTGGGTGATCAAATGGAAAATCGTGAGTTGGGAAAGTCATGTGGGATTATCTGGGGGAAGCTCAGGACATGAGGCACATGCAGCAATTCTTTCTAATGTCAGCAGGAAGGGCTTAGAAGTTTTGCACAAACATACATGGAGTTTTTATATCTTAACTTCTGATGTTCATAGTTTGTGTTCTTTTTTCTTTTTTTAATGTCTCCTTGAACATGTGCCTGCCTCAGTACTAGTCACTAGTTCTGTGAAGGCAGAACATGATGGCAAAGGAAAATGGAGCATATGCCAAACTGCTGATATATAATTCAACTTAAAAGAGAAATGAATACGATTAATACAACTTTTTAAAAACTGGAGTGAGGGTAATTTTAAATTTACTGAAAGGTTGTAATAATACAGAAGACTTCCATAATACCCTTTACCCATCTCTAATTTTTATCATTTGTCACATTTGCTGTTATGGTCTAATACACACGTGTATGTGTACATGTATACAGATATACAAAGATATAATTTTTCAGAACCATTTGAAAAAGTGGATTAATATATACCCATTTAGCCCTTAGAATTTCAGAATGTATTTACTAAGCACTGGGTTTTTCTCTGTACAACTACAGTACAATTGTGAAATTTGGAAAATCTAATATTGATAAAATAATTTTAAACTAATGTTCATATTGCATTTCTATCAGTTGCCTAATATCCTCTGTAGCATTTTTCTTTTCCTTTATAGGTATAATCCAGAGTCCTGAATTTTATTTAGTTGTCCTGTCCTTTCAGTTGTCTTTAGAATAATTCCTCAGCTCTTCATAGAATGTCCCTCAATTCAGGCTTCTTTGATGTTTCTCTGTGTGAAAAATGGATTATGTATTTTTGGTAGAAAAATTAGATCAATGATGTGTCCCTCTAGTGTACCACATAGGAAGGTGCATTTTGTTAGCTTATGACATTTGTCACTTATCAAGGTGCAGTGTCTGCCAGTCTTCATTGCAATGTTATATTTTCCTTTGTAATTAATATTTGTGGGAGAAACTTTGAGATTTTTAAAATATCATTTTTCTACTTGCACCTCACAGATTTACTATCTGTTGATTAATTTTCTCTGAGTTGATTTTTACTATAATGGTCTCAAAATGGCAAGTTTTTAAAACCTCCATCATTTCCTATATATTTAAAATATTCTGTTGTAAAAATAAATGGCACAGCTTTGTTTATCAGCATGGATACATGATTACTCACTTAATAATGGGTTATAGTCCATAACTGTTGCATATGCTCAGATTTTCTGAGATTTGGTCTGCAGGAATCTTTCAGCTGGCTTCTGTATCCTTTGACATGTCTCTGATCATTTATTAAGCAGTTCTTCTTTTCTGGCACAGCAAGATATTCTAGGTTCATCTTTTATTTTTTCCCAGACCTGGAATCAACCATTTCTTCATGGGGCTCTGCTTTTGTTTTTAGTGAGGATAGATATTTCAAAATCAAGATCTGGATGCTAGTTGTACTCTTTCATTGTTATTGGAGTGCCATTGTTTCTAGGTCTCTTCAGTGATGGAGTTAGAAAACCTATGTTTTAGAAGTAGTGGACTCAAAATTATGCCTCCAATTTTAATTCTGCCCCACAGGGTTCTTCTTTGGCTTCCCCATAAAAATGCTTTTTTAAAAATTTATTTTGAGAGCATGACTGAGGAAGTGGCAGAGAGAGAGAGGGAGAGAGAGAATCTCAAGCAGGTTCTGCACTATCAGTGTAGAGCCTAATGTGGGGTGCAAACCCACAAACCAGGAGATCATGATCTGAGCTGAAGCCAGGAGTTGAATGTTCAACTGACTGAGCTGCCGAGGTGCCCCCTATTAAAATACTTTTTAAAATAATTAAAATACTTATTTGCTTAGTCCTATAATATATGCAAAAGTTTCAGGATTGCTATATCCATATTATTAAAAACCTATTAAGAATTCAAGATTAGTATGCTTGTACACACACCTACATACACAAACATTGTATTCAGGTTACTTGGAATGGGGTCTTTCCTACCCATTTCCTCAATAGGTGATTGTTATTCATTTGAAATACTATTGTATCCACTTCTCTTTGAATAGAGTTTTCTCCCCATCATGTTCTAATTTTTTCTGAAT